GCTCAGACATTGATCTTTGCACGAACTGGAATTTTTTTTTTCTGAGAATCAGTAGAAAAATCTGATCTGATTTTTCACGCAATAATTTCTTACCGCAGCCATGGAGTGCTTTGCCACTGTAAACTCAACTCACATCATGAAATTAGCCCAAGGCTGGCAGACTATAAGATCAGTTTGATCGACAAAAGAATTAGATAGGTGTTTCTGTCATTGGGACCAATCCTATAAAGGGACAGGAGAATGGAGCATCTCTCTGCAACTTCACTTCAACTATGGGAAGCGGAAACTTGCGTCCAACCTAGCATGTGAAATGGTAACATGCTGGTGTGGCACAAATATTCCAGTCACCCCTGACTATTTTCCTTTATAAAATTGAAAGCTGTCCTCCAATTGTCTGCTAAACCGAAATGGGACCGAAACTGTGGGATGGGTAAGGATGAGAAGTTGAGGGAAAAAGAAAACAGTAGGACTTGTGCCCTAGCTCTTGACAGGCCACTGAACCCAATAACAGCTTCACCCTTTTTCCTTTAGATGTCAGGTCTCTTAACCTTGCAGTTCTATATTACAAAATGTAAAGCACTCTCAGATCCATCTTTACAAGTATCACATTTACCCGTTCTGAATATGTGTTGTTCTTGAACATTTTTCCACAAGAGACATCTACTGACATTGCTAAAAGAATCAGACTTAAATAATACAGTGGAGTTTTAGTTTGTAATACTGAACCGAATAAATGTATTTTGGGGGTGCTAGCAGTAGATGTGCTCCCTCAACCTATTTAATGTGTCCTATGCTAAACCTCAAAAGGATTTGACATAATGGTGCAGTATGTGAAGACATGAAATGCATTCTGATGAGTAGTCTAGTGTAGCCATTCAGTGCAGGATTTAGTAGAATGATCTACAAATAAGTCAGCTTTTTCCTTATGCTGCTAGATGCTTTATGTACATTTAAGTGGAATTGTTATGCAGTTGGAATGGATCAATGAAAGCCCAGAATAGTTATCCTGGAACTTTTAGACTCTGTAAATGCTATTGTCCCCACCTTATTCATGTATCTTTGTCATTTTCTGCAAGGTTCAGTTTGTTGTTTCCTTGCTGCCTAAAATTGCCAAGCTTTGAGGATCCAAAGGTAAATCTTTAACACTCTGCTGAGCATCAATTTACTGTAGAGAGCTTGAAATCCTGCCTTTGCTACGGGAAATATTTGGAGTAAATCTCCATTATATCTATCTTGAAGACACTGACTGCTGCTTTCACTCAGTTATTGAAAATGATTACCCAACATGTTAAAATAATGATTACTTCATCAAACAGCTACAATACAATGTTTTATAACTGTGGCCATCGAGAAAAGCAGTGTTTTAGTTTAGTGAAATCTCGAATATTTTTACAAGCAAACTGAACGCTTAACCACTGTTAATTTCAAGTATTGTGCAATCCTGCAACTCAAATGTTCCAAATTCTTTGCCATTAAGGGATGTACTCTGTTTTAAAGTTTCAACCCAATTGTAATATTTGTTGTAGCATGAAAAGTTCACATTTCATTTTGGGTAAATTCAGTATTTGAAATTTGCCTTCCCAGAGATCGGTAATGTCTGTCTGATTTCCTCCAAGTGGAGTGTTTGAGATTACAGAGGGATTATAGTGAAAATATTGTTCAGTCTGGTCGTTATGCCTAATTTGAAATTGTTTGCCTTGCCATGCAAATTGAGAATTCAGCTAAGAAGGGGAGAACTTTCTGTCCCTCAATCTTGTCCCTACTATCATTCAGTACCTTTACACAATGTTGCACAGAAATATGCTGTTCATTTGATCAGATTGTATTGCTGCTTGTCTTCCACCATAATGAATGTTTCAATCCCTGTCAACTCTGTTCCAATTTCCATTTCCTTCATCCTATGTAACCAGTGTTAATACTTAACGTAGCCTCCAGTTCATTCAATAATCAAGTGAATTCTGCCATTTCACAAACCCTCTGAGAACAAAAATCTCGCCTGCTCTCATTTAATCTTGTACCATGTCCCTTTTGTTTTGATTCCCTCAATTACTGGAAACATCTGTTCCTCTCTCTCTAGTCCTATCCCTCTAAGTTTGAAGACTTCCATAAAATTATCGCTAATTTCACAACTTGAAAGTCTTACACCTTGTAATCTGCACTTTGTCCTGAATTCAGCTGCGACATGCTTTGAATAAAATGGAGTTAAAAGTTCTCTCAATGCTTTGCTAAGGTTTTACAAACAAGCCAAAACTGTTCTAATTTAGAAGGTTGTTAACTTGACACTTTTAAGAATTGCTGACATTTACATAACAGATCCTACACCCTCTACAATCTGGAGTGTAGCAACAAGGAAGCCAGTCCATACTAGAGGGCAGATTTATCTCCCTTTGCCGGCTCTCTACTCCTTTTTAATAACTCTGATCCAAGGATAGAACTTGCATTTCAGCATGCTGTACTAGTTCAAAATGGTGGGAAAGTGTTTCCATAATTGGTCTGTATAATGAGCCTAACATGGTTCAACATTTTTCCTTTTATTCAAAATAATTATTTTTGAAACTGTTATTTTAATGTCCAAGAACATTAATCAATCCTTTCCACAAAAAAAAATGAGCAGAACTGCAGCAACTGATTCGCAAAGCAAACCATTATGGATACAGAATTCTATTCATTTCATGGTCATGATGTTTTTATGTGAAGAATGCATTAATGAGCAATTAAGCCTCATATTTAAATTGTGTAAACAAGAATATTGCAATGGAATGGTTACAAATGTAAAGGAAGTTGGTGAAATGGTAACATTGCTAAAGGAATGACTGAACGTTTGGTGTGTCCCTCTCTGTAGCCCTGTTGCTCAGTCAGGAGGGGGAGACTTGGCAAGGATGTATGCCCATTGGTCAAAGTCAGAGAGTTCTGATGCTGACTATATGTTGAAATGTTATAGTCTATACAAGTTTGACTATTATAATAGCCCTGAAGAAGAGACATTTACAATTACTTCTTCAAGTGATTTCTAATTTAGAATTCTAATTCTAACATTGTTTGCTGAGAAGAAAAACATCAGTCCCACTGCCCCTCAACCAGCATCGGGTTCAAATCCCACCACAGTAGATGGTGGAATTTGAATTCAATGAATTAAAAGAAAACTGGAATGAAGAGTCTCATGATGACCATGAAACCATTGTCGATTGTCAGAAAAGCCCATCTGGTTCACTCATGTCCTTTAGGGAGGGAAACTGCCATCCTTACCTGATCTGGCCTACATGTGACTCCAAACACAGCAATGTGGTTGACTCTTAACTGCCCTCTGGGCAATTAGAGATGGGTAATAAATGCTGGCCTAACCAGTGATGCCCTCATCCTCTGAATGAATAAAAAAAATTAAAACTGTTCATTAACAACAACATATCTGCATTTAGGGAGACAACAATGAATGACTTTTCATGTGCTTAAGTTAAGCCAGAGTCTGTTTTTTTTTTTAATGGACTGTAGCATGTTAAACTGATTAATTTCTACACTACCATTTACGCAGAAGCAAGGCTTTAAGCCAGATGTTGGCATGTGCGATCACCAGTGATAAAGGAAAGCTACCAGGGATTTGTAGCAGTATAAAATAGAGTGACTGTCAATGCATTTTGGGAAAAAGGTGCTGACTAATAACAGATCTGCATGACATTGTAGTACCTACTCACCATAATCCTTGATTCCTTTACTGTTCAAAAAATTATCTATCTTTACCTTAAAAACAATCAGCGAGGTAGCCTCAGCTGCTTCACTGGGCAGGGAATTTCACAGATTGACAACACTTTGGGTGAAGAAGTTTCTCTGGAACGCAGTCCAAAATCTGCTGTCCCTTATTTTGAAGCTATGCCCCCTGGTTCTAGTTTCACCTTTAAGTGGAAACAACCTCCCTGCTTCCACTGTATCTATTTCCTTCATAATTTTATATGTTTCTATGAGATTTCCCCTTATTCTTCTAAATTCCAATGAGTATTGTTCCAGTCTGCTCAATCTAGCCACAAAAGGCAACCTTCTCAATTCCAGAATCAACTTCATGACTCTGCACCTTCTCCACTGCCAGTACATCCTTTCTCAAGTAAGGAGACCAAAACTGTAGTACTTCATTTGTTGCCTCCCCAGCACCCAAACAGCTGCAGCATAATATGCCTATTTTTAAACTCCATCCCTCGAGCAATGAAGGATAATATTCCACTTGCTGCCTTAATGACTTGCTGCACCTGCAAACCAACTTTTTGTGATTCATGCACAAGGACAGCCAGGTCTCTCTGCACAGTAGCATGCTGCAGTTTTTCACCACTTAAATAATAGTCCATTTTGCTGTTACTCCTACCAAAATGAATGACATTACATTTTAACAATGTTGTACTCCATCTGCCAGACTCATGCCCACTTACTTAACCTGTCTGTATTACTCTGTCGACTTTCGGTATCCTATGCCTAGCTGCGACCTGCCAACTCTGAGGGAATTATTTTGTCAAGTTATTTGAAGCTCACCATAAAGATTTCCGGCTCAGTGACTTATTTATCACTTCAGACCAATGAAACTTGTTGACTGATGTCAAAAACAGCCTTGAGTAATGTAGAGACAACACAGTGCGGAGCTGGAGGGACACAGCAGGCCAAGCAACATCAGAGGAGCAGGAAAGTTGATGTTTTGGGTCAAGACCCTTCTTCAGAAATGTCAACCTTCCTGCTCCTCTGATGCTGCCTGGGCCACTGTGTTCCTCCAGCTTCACAGTGTGTTGTCTCTGACTCCAGCATCTGCAGTTCTTTCTATCCTTGAGTAATGTGGATTTGCTTTATAAGGCATCAACTCTGCCTGAAAGAATCAATTCAGTTAAACTCATCCACAGCAGACACCATCTTGGAGCCGCCTCAACACCAAAGAATCTGTGCTTGAGTCCTTCAGGAATGATGGTTGCAAGCTGGCCATGAATTGACGAAAGCAGCTGAACTATAATGTGATCTGTTTCTCTCTGCAGGTGCCAGTGCTGAAACCCATGGATTTGATGGTGGAGGTGACTCCACGGAAGATCTTTGCTAATGCTCACACCTACCATATCAACTCCATTTCTGTCAACAGTGACTGTGAGACATATATGTCAGCCGACGACCTCAGGATTAACCTCTGGCATTTAGGAATAACAGACAGGAGTTTCAGTATCCTTTGTCATATGCATGTGAGAGATTTGGAAAAATAATTGAGTGTGTTTCTGAGGTTATGCAAAAATATGGATTTTTGTACTGCTGGGTGGTGGAAGTTTATTGAACCTTCTGAGACTTGCACAGTTTCACAACCCACTCAAACTGAGCACATTATTTTTAGTGAATGTTTCATCTGCAGTATTATGGCTTAGTCCAAAGATGTGCTGATTAGGTGGGTTGGCCATGCTACATTGCCCTGTCGTGTCCAGGGATGTGCAGGACGGTGGATTAGCCATGGGAAATAAGGGTGTTACTGGGGTAGGGTGGGGTGCTGGGTCTGGGTGGGATGCCTCTTCAGGGGGTCAGTTCAGATTCAATGGGCTGAATGGCCTCTTGCTGCGCTCTGGGAATTTTATTCTGAGATAGTGTAAGTAAACATTTTTTCTTGGGTTGCCTGTGTTGCTGTAGTAAACTGTTATCCTTTTGATGTCATTGATATTTATGCCTCATGCCATTATGAAGTCCTTTGAAGGCTTCCAACTTTTCACACCAAAAATGTTATTAATTACAGCAAAGTCATTGTTCAATTTCAGCAATGAAAACATCTTAATTGGAAAATTGTTCATATCCCTACCACCGTTCATTACCCAATACAAGAACAATGCTTACTTCAGAACATGCACGTAAATTCCGATTAATGATCATATTATCTTGATTCAACACGTGATCTTTATGCTTTCTAAAGAGCTGTTACAGTAGATGAGTGTGTGCAAAGTGAACTTCAGAACGTTTGCTGTTTAAAGCACGTATGAATGTTACATCATTCAAAGATGCATCTCTCTACGCACGCACGTGTTTGTGTTATGTAGAAAGCAACTGTTCCAGACATGATGAGGCAATCAATAATGCTGTAGCTGTGGCTTCTATTTTCATAAAATTGTGATATCACTGTTGAATATTCTAAAACCACAGAATTGCTGTTCTTTATTGGGAAGAATTTCCCAAAATTTTTCGGAATTTTCTTCTCGAGTAAATATCTGTGAAGGTATTGTATTGCTGACATCAGTTATTGACCAAAGCAGCTTTGTCCAATCTTAGAAAGGCGTCTCTCCTCTCTTTTAGTCTTAGTTTCTACATCAACTGCCTTGCAACTTTCAGAAATTAGATTGCCAATAAAAGGTGGTTTTCCTCAAAGGGTCCGTGTCTCTAGAAATCGCTAAGAATGGGCAAAACTTTGTCAGACTCATTTCATTACACATGTAAAGCTAGCATAAAGACTTCTCATCCATGTTGATTCTGAATCTGAGTCAGAGAGGTGACTAAACATAGTCTGACAATGAAGGTTGTGTGCAGTAATTCTCTAGTAGATACAATTTCAAAATCATGTTTAGCTTTGACAGACCTAAAGTTATAGGTGTAAGTGTGAAAAATTACTTTGGGGTTAAAGATAAAAGCTTTTCTCAAGTTGAAGGGTTGTAATAACATAGCAATATTGGAATAATAGCTTGGTATAATACAACAGTAGCGATTCCAATTTCATTTTTGCAGTATTACAATTTTTTGTTGTTACAGATTTGGTTTTGATTGACTTTTCATCTTTTGATTTATACCTGTCACACTTGATTCAAAACAAAATATTAAATGGTGAGAAAATAACTTTAAATACTGACTTTGGAGAAACACCACTATCTTTTGGTGGTTGTAGTATGACCAACAGACCTGATATGTTCTTTCAGAGTTTAGAGGTCAATATCAGAGCCTAAGATACATGGACTTCAATTTTAGCAGTAAAATGGATGCTAACAAAAGGGTCATCTGTTCCAAATCCTGCATTAAGTTCTTTAACATTGAAGTTGATTCTACTTGAGAAGTCCTAAGTTGGAATCCTAATCTTTGTTGAAATCTGTGTTTCTTTTTCAGTTGAATGTCTTGATGAAAATGGGCAAGTTTTACCCTGATGATTCAGGCTGCAGTGGATCAACTCAAAGAAAAGTTGTGGTGGTGATGTTACAGTAGACTTTTACCCTTTTTCTTGTCTACTCTGTCAATCAGTTGCATTATTGTTAGAGAAAGAATTGGTGGAAGATGATCTCAGTGAAGGGAGTGTCAAGTTTCTAAGTCAAGTTGCTATTAAAAAGAAAGAGGTTTTGTGCGTCTTAGCAAGTTTTAAGGTAAATAAGTCCTCGGGTCCTGATGGCATCTATCCCAGAATATTGAAGGGGGCAAGAGAATAAATTGCTGGAGCACTGGCAGACATCCTTGTATTGTCTTTGGCCACAGGTAAGGTCCCAGCGGATTGGAGAATAGCCAATGTTGTCCCACTGTTTAAGAAGGGTAGCGCGGATAATCCAGGAAATTACAGGCCTGTGACTCTCATGTCAGTGGTAGGGAAATTATTGGAAAAGATTCTCAAGGACAACATCTACAAACATTTAGAAGCAAATGGACTTATTAGTGATAGACAACATGGTTTTGTGTGGGGGAGGTTGTGCCTCACTAACTTTATTGTGCTTTATGAGGACGTGACAAACGTGATTGAGGGAAAAGCGGTTGCTGTTGTCTACATGGACTTCAGTAAAGCCTTTGACAAGGTCCCTTATGGTAGGCTGGTACAAAAGGTGAAGTCACATGGTAGCAGGGGTGAGCTGGCAAGATGGATATGGAACTGGCTTAGTCTTAGGAGACAGAGGGTAGCGGTGGAAGGATGCTTTTTGGAATGGAGGGCTGTGACTAGTGGTGTTCCACAGAGATCAGTGCTGGGACCTCTGCTGTTCGTGATCTACATAAATGATTTGGCGGAAAACGTGACTGGTCCAATGAGTAAGTTTGCAGACTATACAAAGATGGTGGAGTTGCAGATAATGAGGATTGTCAGAGGACACAGTAGGATATATATCTGTTGGAGGCATGCGCAGAAAAATGGCAGATAGAGTTTAATCCGGACAGATGTGAGGTGATGCATGGCAAGGTCAAGTATATGTGGAAATTATACAGGAAATGACAAGCCCTTAAGAGTATTGAAATGCAGGTCCACAGATCACTGAAGGTGGCAGTGCGGGTAGATAAGGTAGTAAAAAAGGCTTACGGCGTGCTTGCCTTCATTGGAAGGGACATTGAGTACAAGGATAGACAAGTTATGCTGCAGCTTTACAGAAATTTAGGCCACACTTGGAATATTGCAAACAGTTCTGGTCACCACACTACCAGAAGGATGTGGATACATTGGAGAGGGTACAGAAAAGGCTTACCAGCATGTTGCCTGCTATGGGGGATTTTAGCTATGAAGAAAGGTTGGGTAGATTGGGTTCGTTTTCACTGGAATGCAGGAGATTGAGGGAGTGATCTGACAGAAGTTTGGAACGGCGTGGATTGAGTGGAAAATATAATGCTTTTTCCCAGGGTGTAGGGGTCAGTTACTAGGGGGCACAGGTTCAAGGTGCGAAGTGGTGGGGAAGTTTAAAAGAAATGTGCAAGGCATGTTTTTCACACAAAAGGTGGTGAGTGCTTGGAACATGTTACCAGAGCTGGTGATGGAAGCAGACACAGTAGCAGCATTTAAGTACCCAGATATACATATGAATAAGAAGGGAACAGAGGGATATGGATCCTGTAAGCAAAGACAGTTTTAGTATGGAGGGGCTAAATATGTCAGCGCAGGCTTGGAGGACCGAAGGGCCTGTTCCTGTGCTGTAGCGTTCTTTGTTCTTTATTCACAAATGTATGTTCTAGAAGTGTTTTCAGAAGAGAAAATAGGTCTTTCAGGTTACGTACTGCAGTACACTTTTTGTGATACTCATGCTAGTTTGGGGGTTCATCTGAAAAACAAATGTATATTCAGGACTTTGTGTACTCTTAATATTCCTTGTCATTAGGGGAAAAAAAAACAAGCATGTTAATTCTGTAACATTATCTATTCACATGACAATAAAACCTAAATGTAAACCAAATCTTTTGATACAGAAAATGCTGTTCCTAACAATTGTAATGAACTGTTCACATTCCCCCAACTCTCAGCCCAAATACAATTGTGAGAAAAACCTTTAACCTAACTAGCTGCAGCACTTGAGGCTGTGTTACTTTGTTACAAGTGGTTGCTAGCCTATTGCAGACTGTTACAAGGCAGTAAATAGATCGATTGCCATACTGCTTCACAACAGTCATCAGTTTAAAAGCATAATTAAATGACAAGGAAAGGACAAATGTACTTGAATCATTCCTTTTTCACAATAACATCTGCATTTGTGTCTACTACCAGTGCATTGACTATGATAATAAGTTGCTGTTACCACTGATTCTGACCCAGTTTTAGTCAGTCTGATACAATGAATATTTTGCCTTCAATCCTAGCCTCATCAGTCAGATTGAGAGTCTGCCTGCCTGTCTAGTGGGAAATAGAAACCAGGTCACAGCTAGCTTCCTGCTACAGGAAAGCTGTTGTCAAACCTGAAAGGGTGCAGTAAAGATTTACAAGAATGTTGCCGAGGTTGGAGGGTTTGAGCTATAGGGAGAGGCTGAATAAACTGGTGCTATTTTTCCTGGAGCATTGGAGGCTGAGCGGTGATCTTTACAGAGGTTTATAAAATCGTGAGGAGCATGGATAGGGTGAACAGTCAAAGTTTTTTTTTCCCCAAATAGGGGAGTCCAAAACTAGAGGGCATAGGTTGAAGGCGAGATGGGAAAGATATAAAAGGGACTGAAGTGGTCATGCTTTCACACGGAGGGTGGTGTGTGTATGGAATGAGCTGCCAGATGAAGTGGTGGAGGCTGGTACAATTACACCATTTAAAAGGCACCTGGATGGGTATATGACAAGGAAGGGTTTAGCAGGATATGGGCCAAATGCTGGCCAATTGGACTAGATTAATTTAGGATATCTGGTTGGCATGGACTAGTGGACTGAAGGGTCCGTTTCTGTGCTGTGCAATTCTATGACTTGATGGCATCAACTCAAAGCTAGTGGCAGAGAGGGCGCATGACATCAGAGGCTGGAGATAGGGAGGGACTAAATTGGAGTG